AAGAAATGTCTATTATTAGTGCTACCAAAGCAGTGAAACATATTCAGCTTAGACGTTTTTTAGAAAGCAAAAACAACGTGAGTTATTATATTTTTACATCTCTAAATGCAGTTGACTTTTTTGTTAAAACTGAGAGACTTAACAACAAAAAACAAGCGAAGATTTTGGACTTTTTTGAAACACATTGAAAATGTAAAATGTATCTATACCTTCTGATTTATTAGTGTAGTTAATACTGTACTGTATATTCAAAAGAATATGAACCATTTATGTATAAACTCTGAATTCCTTACTATAGTTATAACATATTGATTTATATACAGCTTGTCACTTTCATTATAATCTCTTTGAATAAAAACGTATGTGTACTGTATTTAAATTTTGCAATACAGTATCCCATTTTTTGGATAATTCGAATTTTGGATAATTAGAATTTTTTTACTGGTCCCTTGGGGTTCGAATTATCCAAGTTACACTGTATTTTGGTTCTTGACATGGGTGCAGGAATTGTATAGTAGCTTGTGTCTAAAGAAAGCACTGGGTTGGATGAGATTTAGTGTCAGTTTATTAGCAGTGCTTTTCAAGCTATGTGATATGGGGGATCAGTAATTATTTTTTCAATTTCACCAAGGGCTTGAACCATATTTGTGCCATGTTGTTATGGTAAGTCACAGGAACAGCAGCTGATGGCTCATGGACTGACAGTGGTCCATGGGCCACCATTTTGAGCAGCACTCATGAAGAGGGCATTCCTGGACACGTGGTTGTAGGATCTGAAGACATTCTTTGTTTTTAATTGCTGTCTGAGGTCACTAAGTATTTGTATGCTGCAGGAAAAAATGACAATTTTGATTGGAGATCATAGAGATATGTGATATGGGACAGTCTAACAATTATTTGGACAGTGCAGGGCTGTACATGTAAACCTTCAATCTTTCATTAGTATATAAACTGAGCTCTTTTGTGTACTTTTTCAGGACCAGTCACCAAGCCACTTCACTACGGTAGCTATCTTTAGCTTCTCCTTTCTTCTGTCCCATTGCTTCTGTGCGAGAATGACATATCTGCATATACAACATCCACAATAACATCCAGGCCAGCTGTACTCGGGAAACTCAAAGTCATAGGAGTTATAACAACACTTTGTTGTTTGCACCCAGTATCAGAAAATTAGTAGTATACAACTTTTAGTTAGAGTAATTGATTCTAATGATTACAGCAATCCTATAAACTCATGGCTGAAAAGCAGTAATAGATTTATCTTCCACAAAGCCTATGCATGCTTAAGTCTGGGTAATTTATTTCTGAGAAAATGTGCACAGGACTGTGCCATGCCTCTCTTAAAAAGCCATTTCAACTAGCAGCCTCGACATTTGTTGTTCTGTGACTTCAAGTTGTTTCTGAGTTATGATGACCCTATCCAAGGTCACCAAATGAGTTTCCATGGCCAAAAGGGAAATCGAACCCTGATCTCCAATTTTGTAGTTCAACACTCGACCACTAAGCCATGCTGTCAATATATTGTATAAACAGGTATCTTGTGTTGCACAGAGATATTCTTTTGTGTGCCATGATTGTGAACTTAGTGCCATTATTTGCACTTAGTTCTTGTATTCTGCAAGTGAATACTTTCTCTTTAGTCACTGTTATTTTATGATTTTTAAAGTTTCATTTATATATTTCTTCATACTGGACTAAGCAGTCTCTAAGCTGTTTACCACTGTAAGCTAATTGCCCCCAACAAGCTGGGTACACATTTTAGCAACCTACGGAAGGATGCAAGGCCGAGTTGACCCCAAGCCCCTGGTTGGGATTGAACTCACAACCTTCTGGTTTGTGAATGAGTGGCTGCAGTTCTGGCATCATAGGATCCTTCAACCTCTCATCCCATTGCCCCAGTCTTTACTGAGGAATACCCTCCAGTTTAGGCAGCAATCAATCAAATCTAGACTCAAACTCTGGCCTAGCAACCTTCAAATTTGCTTTTTTTTTTTTTTTGCCAAACTTGTTGGCTATTAATGCTTGGTTTGTGAAATAAGCCAAAGAAGTGGTTTATCTTCTGTACCAGATTCATGTCATTATCCTCAAGCAAGTATACCACAGGAGCATTGCTTCCAAGAGGGCATCTAAGGACGCCTTGAATGCTAGTAAATCATTCCCCCTTCTTTTACCCTACTTAATGGTTATAGTAATGAAATATAAGTGTGTTTGCAAATATGTTTCTGAACCATTATAAAGTATATGCATTGTCTTTTTGTTTTGCAAAACAGAAAAACCAAACAACATTCCACTTTTATTACCCTCTTGCCACAAAACTGAAGCCCCCAGTTTGGAGCCATTCCACTGTTACTGAAAATGAATAATCTTGTGCAAGAAGGACAGGCACCAATTAATTTGGCTCTTATTTGCTATATTGGCATTTCTGTCTCTTGTTAACTTTTCTTGGATAAAAATCAAGTGTGGAAATCCTGTTGTCTGGCAGTTTTTTTGTTTTTTTAAAAAACACAACATATAAAAATCCCAATAGTAACAACAGTGTCTCATTGTCTAACATCCAATACAAGATGTTTGCAATGGATATCAAATATACAAACTGTTAGGTCCTCCAGATATTATTGGACTGCAGCTCCCAGTTGTCCTAGCCAGCATTGCCAGGAGTAAGGAATAGTGGGAGTAATGGTCCCACTCCTACTTGACTCCCAGTCCCAGTGTAGATGAAAAAAAATGAGTGTGGATGACACAGGTAAATAAGTGTTAAAATACAGTTCCTACTTTACTTTTCCTCTCACAATGACATAAAAAATTATGAAATGGTGGATATGTCTATTCTCGCCCTCCAGGCACAGACAGAAAGTATTGTATGTTACAGAACCAAGTTAATTCAGCCAAACCAGGAAAATAAATACTGACTGGTGCCACTGACTGGTACATTTTCCTAATCTTACTCATACATCAGATGGTATTTGTAGTCCTTGATGTTTTTGGATAGCTGGGAGCTTGGACTCCATCATCTGGCTCTATCAACCTCCCAATTCCAGAGTTGCTGGTTAGAGAAGCCCCTTGTAGTCTGCAAAGCCAGAGCCAGGGACAAAGGTAGACAGGTCAAAGCCTCATGTTGCTTTTAGGCCTTTTAAAAACCTCCACGCAGAACCATCTAGAACAGTGATGGAGAACCTTTTAGAGACCGAGTGCCCAAACTGCAACCCAAAACCCACTTATATCACAAAGTGTTGTGTTCCTCTGCTTTCTAGCAACAAACTCTGGTGAACTCTGTGTTGGGGTGATGGTGTGCATGCCCACAGAGAGGGCTCTGAGTTATCCCCTGTTATCTTTTTGCCATCTTCTCCACACAGTGGCCCTACCATTTCCTTCTTTTTCCTTTTGCTGCTGACATACCCAAGGTCACCAAATGAGTTTCCATAGCCAAAAGGGAAATCGAACCCTGATCTCCAATTTTTGCCACCACTGATCTAGAAGGTTCTCTCTTCTCCCCAATGGCTCATCTCCTTGGACCATTGCCATCTCACCATCTGTGATGTAGGCCAGGGGTTCCCAACCTTTTTGACTTGCAGAGCCCTAAGGACTCCATGGAGCACAGGTTGGGAACTACTGATGTAGACTCTCATTAAAATGTATCTGTACCTCCTTCACATTTAACACTTTGTTATTTGGGGAGAAGGTTCTGATAAATGGAGGGACTCCAATTTATCACAAGGTCTAAAGGAGTTCCAACCACTTTCCAAACAATACCAGAAAATAAAGCTCTAAGGATTAGTTTGCTCAACTAAACATATGAGCAATAGAAAAAGCTCATTCATGCCTAACATGGGATGTTGTTGACAGCAAGGGGCAACACATATACAAGTTCGCAGTACAGGCATACCTCAGTTAACAAAGCGTCTGACAAAGAAGCCTCTTTTTACAAAATCCTTTTTGGCCCATTGAAACCCTACTTATCTTTAACTGGAGGATTTTTTTAAAACAATGCCACCATTGGGAGGATGTTGGAGGACAACTGCAAAACCACAAACTTTTGATGTTAGGTTGTAACAGTGTGTTTGCAGTAAATGTGATAAAGCTTGAGCTGGGAAAGAACCAGCCAATCCTACCGTGTGCTTGCCTACAACTGGCAAGGTAAACAGCTGCATGCTCCTGCGCATGAAAGAAGCACAGATCTGAAAGTCTGGCCACTAAAATGGAAAGCATAAGTGAAGGCTGGGGAAAGGAAGAAAGAAAGAAAATACCTAGATACATTTGGGAAGATTTCATGTGGTCTCTAGATGATTCAAAATGTTTTTTTGTTTACAAATCTCCTCTGAACAAATCTTGCCTAGAAAACCCCTTATAGTTGCCATAAGTTTGAAATGATTTGAAGGCACACAGCAGCAGCAACAACAACCAAGGTTTGCCTAATCTAGTTAAGAGGTAAAGGTAAAAGGTACCTTACCTTACCTATATTGTTTGTTTTGGATAAAAGGTTTGCTGAAAACATGTTGAATTCCTCTTATTTTTGTGGTATAGAAACATATCCCTATTCTTTTCATGTTATTTCTGCCTCTAGTACCAAATTTTTGGTTAAAGAAGTAATGTTCAGGAACATACACACTTTGTTATCTCAGATATATCTGTATTCTTATTTCCACTGTTTTGCTTAAGAGTAGGGAAGTATTTTAAAGTATCTAAGAATAAGAATCTATGATAAGATCTCTTAGCTAGAAAGTTCTGGCTGGAGTAATATTTTTCCCCTTTCATGTTTGCCTTTAAGCTCCCATGGTTTTTGGAACTGGGAATAGATAGAGAGAGGAACAGCAGAAAATCAAAACTGTTCATTTTTATTTAAATGAGCCTCCCAGAAATGAAGTCAGAAGTCATGCATTAGAAGACAATGGCCTAAACTCAATTGCTAGTCCCCATAACAGTAAAATGTGATGTGGAATAAAGGCACTTATGATACCTATCAACCTTGATTTGCCTTAGGTATCTAGTCCCCCTTGGAGCTATGAGTGTGACTTGCTCAAGGCACCCAGTGGGTTTCCATATCTGAATGAGGATTCAAACCCTACAGTTGTGGTCCAGCACTCACACCACTATGTAACTTTAGTCAGTAAAGACAATGGAATAGTTAAAGATTGTCTGTACCTTGGCTCAGTCATTAAACAGAATGGAGACTGCAGTTAAGAAATCAGATGATTAGGACTTGGAAGGGCAGCTATGAAGGAGGTATGAAAGACAAGATCTTCAAGTATAAAGATATATCATTGGATACTCAGGTTAGGATTTTGTCCATGCCATCTTATTTCCAATTGCTAAGCATGGTTGTAAAGTGCTGGAAAGTGAAGATAGCTGATAGGAAGAAAATGAAAATTTGACATGTGGTGCAGGAGAAGAGTTCTACGGATACTATGAACTCCTGAA